TACCCTTATTATAGAATGGATATCAATTCACTAGAGTCGGTGCAGCGAAGAATGACGAAAATGATTTCGGGACTTAGAAACCTTCCATATCAGGATAGGTTAAAGAAACTTAAGTTGCATTCCCTAGAAAGACGAAGAGTGAAGGGAGATATGATAGAAGTATTTAAGTGGGTGAAAGGAATCAATAAAGGGGATATAGATAAAGTTCTTGTAATATCCGAGCAGGATAGGACTCGGAGCAACGGATTTAAGTTGGATAAGTTTAGGTTTAGGAGGGAGATAGGAAGAAACTGGTTCAAAAATAGGGTGGTGGACGAGTGGAACAAGCTTACCAACTTTGTAGTAAGTGCTGGAACTCTGGAAAGTTTCAAAATGAGGCTAGATAGATTCATGGATGATAGAGAGTGGTTGTAACTCTCGACAGGAGCTGCCATGCACAGGCCAACCGGCCTACTGCAGACTCCTTATTTTGTTATGTTCTTATGTACATCGCCTGGAGGGAAGGGGGTAGTTTTGTAGTGGATCTCCCCTACAAACGCTGTTTGTCGCTGAGAAGCCGACCCCACGAATTCCCCAGTGTATGCCTCGTGATCTAGGTCAACCAGCGCCGCCTTACTATTAAGCCACGCCTACCTCCGCTATATAAGACCTGACCTCGTGGTGACCTAACTCTCTTTCTACCTACAGCCAGTCTTCAAGTAACACCACCTCCTCCTCCTGCCTGGCGGCCCTCGCTCCCGCCGGCGAGCATGGCGACCCACAAGCTGGTCCTCCTCTGAGCACCCTCACCAACCAGCTCTCTCTACATCACGCTTGTAACCACGCTGCCACTTCCCAGCACCAAGCTGCACTGTACATCCAATACAATATGTATACAGAGAGCACGTTGTGAGTTTCCTTTCTCCATCCCATCCTGAGTGTGAACCAAATAAAACGTAGACATTTAAGTTAGTCGAGTATCCACTACACGGTATATATATATACAGTATATATATATATATATATATATATATATATATATATATATATATATATATATATATATATATATATATATATATATATATATATATATATAAGTAATAATTTTAAAATGCGTTCAACTGGACTTAAACAAATAGTAATCTGAATTGGTATTAGTTTTTGAACAATTCCCCGTTTGTTTACAGTCTGCATGGGTGAATGTTAAAATAGTAAAGTGCAGTACCACCATTATTTCCATCTTTTAAGCAACCATATGAAGCTCAAGCTAATATAGACGATTTTTACAGATTTGGGTAAATTTATGAATTAATTTGTAGCAGGTTTGGTTGATTATTCTTATCTGGATGATAATTGATGCTGGAGTACTGGTCTTGGTAAACCTGTTAACATTAGCTTTGTCCTGGTGTGCTGAGCCGAGGCTGTATAATAATTGTTATTTTACACCCGTGACAATGAATTTAGGTTGCCTCTATACAAGATATATCAAGGACAGTTTAAACAATGCCAGACAATTAACACGAAGTTGGTCTAGGCAGCTGCAGGTTGTCATAAGGCAAGAGTCAGCTTTAAGGTATGGTGAGACTAGTAAGGGTGCTATAGATCTCCAGTATAAACCTTTAATGAATAATTGTATACTGTTCAAGTTACAAAAGTCAGCAGAAACAATAGCTGGACTTGGCAGCAGAAGAAGACTGTATTCTGGATATTCTAAATTTTCAGTTCAAGAACAGCGTTGGCCATTGAGAAGAAGCATTGGTTGTGATAACTCTCCTGGTGTGAAGTTATTATCATCACAGCACACAGAGGTTGTAGATAATTTAGAAGTGAGAGATATTATAGAGCCGACAAGAGTGCCAGAATATTTCTACTTCCATGCATCTTGCAGCTCAAATACAAGATCTTCAATAAATTCGTCTTTTGAAGTTGTGAACAATTTTGTGAGTGAAGATGAAGAGGAAGTGTTAATGAAGGAAATTGAACCACACCTTAAGAGACTGAAGTATGAATATAATCACTGGGATGATGTAAGAACTTTATTTTGTTTTGTTGATTGGGTTAGAATAGGTTTGGTTTGATGTACCTCTATCTCGGCCCACTCAGTTAGCCAACTTAAATAATTAACTGGGCCCACACATTACTAACTCGACCCACCTTACACTCTCCAAACAAGTAGCTGACTAGAGGTTCAGGAATGAGTCAGAGATATGTTTTATGTCTCTTTTGGTTCACTGAAATACGAAAAGTGTGAATGAGTGAATACGGAGTGTTCAGTTGGTATGAAGGATGAATGTTATGAGTTTATGTTAGTAGAACTTGATCAGTGAACCATGATTCACATTCGTAGCTTGTGTTTCTCCAGGTAATTTCGAATAGTTTGGAATTATTGCTTCCAGTAAATTGCCTACAATTAATGTTAAACTGATTGGACAGTAGTTAGAGGATAGTGATGCACAGTATCTCTCTTTTTGAAAATCAGTATTACATTTTCTATCCTTCAGGATTTTGGTGCTACACCCATTTTTAATGACATGTTAAACAAATTTGCTAAGGGCATACTAAGCTCTTCCTTACATTCCTTTAATAATCTGGGGTAAATTTGCATTGTTACACCGTTCACTTTTAGCAAGTAAAAAATATATTTTTCAATTGTATTTATGTCTGTTTAGACCGAATATGACCTTCATTTTTGGCGGAAATTAGCCTTTTTTTTAACGATTTTTTTTTCGTTTGACGTTTTCCGAAAAAAAAGTGGCAAAGCGACTAAAAAATACACAAAAAAACACTAGAAAAACAAAAACCTAACCTAACCTAACTTAACTGACTCTCACCATATGATGGAATCACTTATTTCTTACCTTATTGGCCTGGTTCTTGTTCGTCGTTGCATTCTGGGATTCTTACACAACGCCACATATGTTGGTCTTTGCGATATTTACATTCAGTCTTGCTCTTAGTACACTTTACTGAGGTTGAAAGAACACCATGCGATCGAAAAAATGCAATAGTTTCTACGTTTTTTCCCAAAAACTTGCAATCAGCTCCATATACTTTAAGTGATGTCCATCGCAGACTTCCATGGTCGGAACTGAACTTGAATTTCAAAATATGAGAGATCCAAAATAAAACTCGATTTTGATTGGGCCAAATATACTCTGAATTAAACCCAAAACCATTTTAATTGGTTCCAAAAGCAAAAACGCTTTTGATTGGCCGTGTGACGTGTACGCATGTGCGTCATGATTTATGAAGGAGACGCGAGAGACACGCAGTGTTGGGTGAGAGGCAGACGATAATGGCGGGAGGTTAATGGAAGAAAATAGAAATTTTTTGGGAAAAGCTATCTCCGTTATTAAACATTTCCGCCGGTAATGTAATAGATGAAAATTATCTTATAATTAGACGTCTTACTCGAATATGATAATAGATTAGTGGTAGGAATGAATGGTGTGTAAACGCAATAATACCAATCTGGGAAGTATCTCATTGGGACCTGGTGACTTATTAGGCTTATTTTGTCTATTTGCTTACTAACATCGTTACTTGTCACTATTATCTCGCTTAATCTATTTTCTTCACTCCCTCTGTATAGAATCGGTGCATCGGGTATTATACAGTATAGTCTCGATTTACACGGATTTGGTTTACACATTTGGTCATTTACACGGCACCTTGCCAGACTGACAATTTTTATTTACACGGTTCATTCCATCATTTACGCGGGAAGCGGCGCGGGCAGGGTGCGCACAAGGTTGCCCAGTCAACAAAACATTACCGAGTTTTTCCCCCGTCACCCACCACAGCCGGCCCAAGTCAGTGATAGTGAGGATATGGACTTTGAGGGGTTTGACAAAGCGGCCCTGCAATCCTCTGTGGTGGATAGTGATACAATTGATACAAGTGATACAGGTGAGGGCCAATAGTCTGCCCTCTGCCTCGGAACCAACCCCCCATCCCCGTGTGCCCAGCCATCTTTTCTACTAACGTTAAGTGTTAAAAAACCTACTATTATTGATATTTCTCTTAAATTTTAATTGTGTGTGCATACCATCATAAAATTAAGATGTTATTTTTACTACAACGTAGGTATTGTGCCGGAAAAAGTGTAGTTTGGGGGTCGGCTCAGTCTCTATTTCAATTAATCCCATATGTTCTGTTATTTCGTTTACGCGTTTCTCATTTTACGCGGACCTCCGCGGGTTCAATTGACCGTGTAAATGAAGACTATACTGTATTTAAATTTTCGGTGGTAAAAACTGTTGAAAAATATTTGTTCAGATTATTGCTCATTTTTCCGTCGTTATCAGTTAGCTCGCTGGTATCTGATTGTATTGGTCCAATCTTTTCTCATGTTTTAGTTTGATTCATTTGAAAGAATCCCTAGGGGTTTGCCTTCGCCTCCCTTGCTATCAGTTCATTATTCCTCTTTGCTTTTCTTATCTTCGTCTTAACCCTACCGGCCAATAGCTTATAATAATCTCGGAGGTAAACTTCACCACGATTTATTCTCCTACCTATAGCCTTCCTTTGTCCAATAATATTCTTTAAATAATTCTTTATCTATTTGGGGTCATTGTTATTTGATCTGAGTTTTCTGTATGGTCGTTCTGCCTTTGTTCATTAAGTAACTCATTATTTAAATTGTTGCGGAACTCGTCAACCTCAGATCTTGTGACCGTTAATCAGTAATGTTTGTACATCTATGTTGCTTTTTATCATTGTACTTATGTACTTTTGTCATTCATGCAAAAATAAATGTGTAAACTTTTACTTTTTATTCCGGGTTGGTTATTCAAGATGGTTCAAGTTGGTATTTGATGGTCCGAGTTTGATGTGGGTCGAGATGGCAATGTGCCAAGATAGACTGTATTCGTTTGGTTCAGCTTGTGATGTCATATTTTTTTCTCGATTTATGTCTGGAATTTTTTGTGTTTTTTTCCCTGTAACAGGGCCGGATTAAGCTTAATAGGGGCCTGAGGCACAGATCAACTTGGGGCCCCCTACCCTCAAGGTATTTATATATATATATATCTATATATATATATATATATATATATATATATATATATATATATATATATATATATATATATATATATATATATATATATATATATATATATATATATATATATATATATATATATATATATATATATATATATATATATATATATATATATATATATATATATATATATATATATATATATATATAGCAAGAACAAAATATACCAAAATTTATCAATGATTTCATCAATATTAAGCTTCTGCAAAATAACACATTCAATGTTCATAAGAGACAGAAAATTGAGACGTTGCTAGGACATCATTGAACGAAGTTTATGTTTTTTAAGCTTCAACTGCGAGAATATTTGGATTTGGGGGCCCCTTAGAGTCGGGGGGCCTGAGACCAGTGCCTGAAGTGCCTCATGGTTAATCCGGCACTGCCCTGTAATTTTTTTTTTACTTTTTTGTGCACCTTTTTTTCTGTGAGTTTTTACTCTGACTCTTTTTCTGGGCTGGTCCACTCTATAACCTCTAATTTAATGATTATAGTTTTTTTTTTTTAAGTAGGTTAATATTGATGACTCACCTGCAGGCAAGTTATTTGTTTACTGTTTATGTTCTTACTTAATTTTCATCAGTGAGTTCTGATATGGTAATCAATTCTTGTGCAAATGTCTCGTTTTGTATATACTACTGTAATTAGGTTCTTTGGTACACTCGACTTTGTCTTCCCGGCAGTAATGCGGCCGCGCTCTTTGCCGTACTCCCTCTCATTCCCGCGGCAATTTTATTTTCAGCGTAGCGTGTGAAGGTCGTTGCTGATCTTGTGCTACAGTTCTTGTGCTTATAAGGGAACTTGGCTTGAAAATGCCAAGATTAAACCCAGTACAGTATAGTATAGTCTGGATTTACGCGGTTTTTGTTTAGCATTTGGTCATTTACACGGTGCCTTGCTAGAATGAAATGTTTTAATTGCGCGGTAAATTTCATCATTTACTTGGCGAGCAGCTGGAGAGGTCCTGACCGCCGCGCCATTTTTTACTCACATGGCCCATTCTTGACCATACACGGGAAGCGTATTAGGCCGCTCTTACGTTATCGCTGACGTCATATGACGTATCGGACTGTGATTGGGCCATGCATCCTTACCACCCACGCATTCCCTCCGCCGCTAGCTGTGATTGGTCTAATGTAACATGACGTGCCCTGCCACCAGAGGGTAGAAGTCGCTGTCCTAGCCAGGCCTGTCTCATTGTTCTCAGTCCGCGTATACAGTTCTCTCTTGTGCCCGCTATTCCCCTCACAATGGCTTCCGCTGGACCCCCACCACCCGAGAAAAACCTTGAATTACCTGGACCAAGTCATGATTGTGTGAAGGAAATCATCGAGTTGGGGGAGAAAATTAAGCTCATCCTTGACAACAACCCAGACAAGCATCGGTATGAAGTGTCTAATAACCATCTGACGAAAGTTATGGAGCCGTATATCCAGATCTATCTCGACATCATCAATGCTAGTCGTCCACCTAGTATTAAGGACTTCCTCGCCCGCAACCCACCACAACCACCCCAAGTCAGTGATAGTGATAGTGAGGATATGGACTTTGAGAGGTTTATCTGTGAGGCCCTTCAAACCTCTGCGAGTAGTGAAAGTGATTCACCGGAGGGTAACTAATCTGCCCTCTGCCTCGGAACCAGCCGCCATCCACCTGTGCCGACCCAGCTTTTCTACTAATTTAAGTGTTAAATACCCTAATACGTATTATTGATATTTCTCTTAAATATTAATTGTGTGTGCATACCATCATAAAATTAAGATGTTATTTTTACTACAACGTAGGTATTGTGTCGGAAAAAGTGGAGTTTGGGGGTCGGCCCAGTCTTTATTTCAATTAATCCCATATGTTCTGTTATTTCGTTTACGCGTTTCTCATTTTACGTTGACCTCCACGGGTTCAATTGACCACGTAAATGCAGACTATACTGTAATGTACTTTTATTTTTAAACAACTTTCTAAGAAAGTACTTGAAGAAATGAGTTTGTGTGCAGAACGCAAAGTCTATTTTATGACGTATTTCAAAACACTCCTCTGCCTGGATCTGGTTCAAATTCCGATGCAGGAGGCTGCTCTCACATCCACAAAAAACATAGTATTCCGTATCATGCTAAGTTTTTTCTGTTTAATATACCAGTTCCCGGGTAAGGAAGTTAGGTTAGGTTAGGTTGGTGAGGTCTGTTTTTCATACCCATTAAGGTTAGGTTAGATTAGGTTTAATTTGGAAATAACCATTTTAACACATTTGCACAAATAAAAACAGTACTATGAAAAGTCGGCCGTGGGTCAGTCGTCAATAATTTCCTTTAAATAATATCAGGTATGCGGGGGTGTAATGAAACAAGAGTTTGCCAGTACCTAACTAGGATTTATTCATCTTATAACTGTCCTACAGCAATACAATAGTATCTGAAACAAAAGGATATAACAAAATGAGATTATAGAATTCTGAAACACAGAGGAAACATTTAGGCAAGTGCAAAATGATAGTGCAGTAGTTCCTTATCCATATAGCTATGCAAAACTAAAAGCATTCACAGGCCAACCGGCCTATTGCAGACTCCTTATTTTCTTATGTTCTTATGTTCTTAGACATACATTAGTACATAAGAACAATACAGAGGTAAACCACAAGTCCATATTACATGGGGGATTGGTGTCATATACTGTATATTCATTTATAGAAGATTTACAGCACCTCTCACTTAAGTTCTGCTTATACGACCTACCGTAAGTAGTGTGTCAGGTACACTTTCAACATTATTTTTTCTAACCTAACCTGGCCCAGACCCTTCCTAAAATTTGCTGGATGACCAAAACAATTATAATACCTTATCTTTTAGTTGATATTTATGCCGTACTAAATTTTAGGCTCAAGTGAAGGTTAGGCACCCCAACTTATTTGAACTTATGATTAAACACCTTAATTTTAACTAAATGCTACAGGTAACTTAGGATGTTTAATCAATATGTGAAATAAGGTGTGGTGCCAAATCTTCATGTGGTCCCAATTTTTTCCCTTTACCCTCCAGTAGATTTGATTACTGTACATGAATTAAGAATGAAATGGGCTAATATTGACGACTTCACCGCAGACGTGTTATTCGTTTTGACGTTTACATTTTTACTATATTTTCGTTACATGTCCATACCTGGAGCTGGCGGACACCTGCCCCACAAGGGGTCACAGCTCGAGGTTGAAGAAGCCACAAGTCCAGAAAACTGTTAGGGCAGAGATTGTTGTGATGCCATCGAGTGAGAGCTTTTTCAAAACCAGACTTGACCAACACTGCAGCAAGTTCAGATACATTCAGGAGCTAGTTCATGCTCAGTACTTGCCAACAGTGCGTAACAGAGATGTGACTAACCACCCAAGCGGCTAACAAGCCGATCAGTGGCAAAGAAGTTAAAAATAATCAGTGAGTTCTGATGTGGTGATAATTTTTTTTTGGGGGGGAAGGGATTTGTTTATGTTAGGTTAGGTTAGTTTAGTATGATCAGATTAGATTATGTTGAATTTTTAAATAAACTCTTTTTAACACATTACCATAACTATGAGAGTATCCATTATAAAACACAGTGAAATTGTGGTGATTTTAAATTTTTCTATGAAAAATCAGTTACGGTGTAATCGTCAATAAATACCAAGAAATTAAGCTTTTCATTATTTTAATTTCATTGTTAAACTCAGAGAGATATTTTTACTTGAATAAAAATTTCCAGGCAATTCATGGATTTCGAGAAACAGAACGCTCAAGATGGGGAGAAGCTTCTGCCCACATCCTTACCAGAATCCGACAGTATGCCTTTCCTACAACAGAACACCAGTTGCCGCAGTCCCATATTCTTGACTTGGCGAAAACAGGAGTTATTAAGCCTCATGTCGACAGTGTCAAGGTAAGAAATAAAGCACAGGTAAAGTCAGAAGCAGTAATTGCTAAACCCTCCAGAAAACCCCCAATAGCTGGAGCCAAGGCAAGTGAAGGCCTGGTGATTGAAGAAACCCTTCTACCCCCCACCCCCCCTTGTCTAAACATTTCTGGTTAGTTTTGGAACTAACATGGCTGGGGGTGCTGCAGTGTGTCAATACTCGGCCTTCACTGGCTCTGTACCTGTTTATGTAACTAACTCTTTCTCTCTGAATCATGAATGTCCTTTATTGCAGCGGTTCCTAAACTTTGTGGCTCCCACAAATAGTTCTCACCAACCCTCATGCTTCCTGTTTTTTCTTTTGACAAAATTTTATGATCTGTATTTGTACCAGTAATTATATCATTTGTTATAGTCTACTAATTCATAGAAGTATTGCAAGGTTGATGTTCCTATAAATATCTGGTCATGTAGGTTCTTGCTTAATTTATCAGTTTTTAATATTTAAGCAGAATTCAACATTATTTATTTATTTATTTTTTTTACATGTCCTTATGCCTCCCTTGTACTGTACTCACTGTACCCCCAGCTTAAAACCACTGTACCGTACAGTAATTATCAGTTCACTAGTATTTCTTACACTTAACAGTGGTGCAACAGAGTAAGACAGAAGGACATTATTAAGCTACTGTTTATACATTAAGTTCAACCCTTATACATATTCTACAGCCTTGGATATTTTTACTCATTTTGTTTTTGTTTTTTGTTTTTAAATTGAAACTTTATAATTAATTACCAGTATTTGGCTTCAAAATAGCCCTTGACAAAATATCAAGAACACAGGCCACTGGCCTCCTTCCATCAGCGTGGTCACCTCTAGTGGGTGGCCATTAGTAAGGTAAATTATGTATGAGCCAATGAGCTACAATGGGGGTGACGCTTGTACCATCAGCTACAAAACAAACCAAAAAAACAAACCAAAAAACAAGACTAGATTGTTTTAATACAGTGGTCCCTCGGTTAACGAACGCCTCGTTTAACGAAATTTCAGTTAACGAATTACTTCCCATAAGAATCTTCAATTCGGTTAATGAACAAATATTTGGTTAACGAAATTCTTACGAAAACATGTTAACATGTTTTCGCTTACTCATCTGCTGGTAGATTAGTCCGCCAATACAGTAATCGGTTCTAGGGCTTAAATTCATTCCCGTTTGAGTAAATATAAAGAACTTTGTGCTATTAAATATTTTTCCAAGTTTTATTTTAAAATTATTAGTCATTTTAACACTTATTAGATATACAGTGACCCCCTCCGTTAACGAACTCAATCCGTTCCAGAAGGTCGTTCTTTAACCGAAAAGTTCGTTAACCGAAACCATTGTTTCAATGGGTTTTTGGGTAATTGGTTCCAGCTCACCGAAAATTTCCTAAATTCAACAAAAATGGTAGAAAAGTTCACTTACTTTGAGGTGTGTATGTAGAAGGCTCCTGGATGATGATGATGATGATGGGAATTAGAATGGGGGTGGAGAAGGAAGAAGAGAAGGCATTGGGGTGGAAGAGAAGTCACCCCATGGCACTATTTCACCCATAAAATTTTAGCTCTCTTGGTGTAATTCAAGATTATTTTCTTTAAATCAACACTGCTCTGCATTATATATTGTCAATATGTAAAATATATTTCAAATTGACCAATAATTTGCTTGGAAACATAGAAAAAAAGCGTTTAGTTGAAGAGAGTCTCAAGCAAGATGTTACCTCCAGTGAAAACAGAGAGAGACTAATACCTGCTTGCTGTGTTAAGAGGCTGGATGCCACGCATTAAACTAGTCACTTTACCTTCAGTTATGTTCAATAATTGTTAAAATGACTAAAAAATTTAATATTAAACTTTTAAAATTATTGAATAGTATAAACTTCTTGATATTTACTAAAATATTAAGGAATTTAAGCCCTAGAACCGATTAATGTATTGGCAGACTGATACTAAAGCTGGTTGCCCGGTCAGTGCAAGCGAAAACATGTTGAGGTCGGTTCGTAAGAAATTCGTTAACCGAATTGAAGATCCTTATGGAAGGCAGTTCGTTAACCGAAATTTCATTAACCGATGCGTTCGTTAAACGAGGGGTCACTGTATAAACTTCTTGATATTTACTAAAATAGTAAGGAATTTAAGCCCTAGAACCGATTAATGTATTGGCGGACTGATACTAAAGCTGGTTGCCCGGTCAGTGCAAGCGAAAACATGTTGAGGTCGGTTCGTAAGAACTTCGTTTACCGAATTTTTTGCTGCTGGCAGAAACCTCGGAAGGCAGGCGAATTGAAATGTAAACGGGAGTTGTGTCATATATATATATATATATATATATATATATATATATATATATATATATATGTATATATATATATATATATATATATATATATATATATATATATATATATATATATATATATATATATATATATATATATATATATATATATATATATATATATATATATATATATATATATATATATATATTTATATATACGTAACCTTTTTCACTCAAATCCTAATGATACACCACAATTATAATACTGTGGTAGCTGTTGTATAAACAGTGGGAACACAGTCCCACCACCGAGACGAGGTAACACTCCCACCACTGATCGTCTCGTGTGAAGCAAGCATATAAATTAAAGAAAATACTTGCAGTGTGTTTAATATGTTACAGTATATTTTAAATAAATAAATAAACAAATAAATCGGGAAATCCATTTCAAGTAAATGGAAAAATTTTACTCGACACCGACATTAGTTCCAGTTACCGGTAAATAGCAGACGCTTCAGTGACGTCACTAGTGTTAACACTACACCAGCGGGTAACATTTGATGACATTATTTGAAGTGAATTGGAAATAAATAAATAAACAAATAAATCGGTAAATCCATTTCAAGTAAATGGAAAAATTTTACTCGACACCGACATTAGTTCCAGTTACCGGTAAATAGCAGACGCTTCAGTGACGTCACTAGTGTTTACACTACACCAGCGGGTAACATTTGATGACATTACTTGAAGTGATTTGGCCTTATTTTAAAAAACCAAGGATGGTTGGTAGAGGACTACTGAGTCAGTGGGTAAGTGTCACATTTGGGGTACTGGTCTTATACAGCGAATAGAGCTCAAAAGCTACTTTTTAAATGGACATTTGGGGGGGCCGTCTTATGCACCCCGACGCCTTATAGGCAGAGATATACGGTATCTATAATATTGGCTCAAACCTTAAATACCCTAGATCTTTCATAGACAAATGCCTAAACATTACAGGTTGTACCTCTCTAGTCCGGCATTCTGTGGTCTGGAAACTCCCGTGGTCCGGAACGATTTTAGTTTGTCCAATAGGTAGATAGGCAGTTTTTTTTTTTTTTTTTTTCTTATCTGAATTATTATTATTATTACAGGAGTATTAAATTTTTGCCCCTCAGGCCCCAATGTGGGTCAGTGACCTATGCCCGGGTGGGCTAATCCCCTTAAAAAAAACAAAAAAAACGATCTAACAGTAGGGGCGAGTGTCCTGGTGCGTTGTCCAGCAGCAACAAAATCTTGAATGGCACATTCTGTCGCTCACAGAATTTCTTTACATCGGGAACAAAACAGTCATCAAACCAGGAGAGGGACAGTGTAGAGAACATCCACGCCTTACGTGCGGTCAGCCAGTGGACATTTAGCTTGGTCATGTCCATGGTTTTGTAGGCGTGCAGCTTGCATGCTGTGTGGATCACCGATAACTTGAGCTTACTGGTACCGGAGGCATTGGTGGTAAACAGGACGGTGATGCATTCCTTCTGCATTTTCCGGCCCCGAATCTTGCTGGCATTCTTTACAACGAAGGACTTGGAAGGTAGCTTTTTCCAGAAAAGACCAGATTCATCCATGTTAAACACCTGGTCGTCACTGTACTGTCCTTCCTCCATAATCTCACGTAAAAATGGAGGAAATTCCCTAGCCGCAGCACGGTCAGCACTCGCTTCTTCACCACCAATGTTTATATTGGTGATCTTGTTCCGGATCTTAAACCTCTGTAACCACCCAGAGGAAGCATTAAAGGGTTTGGGCTCTGTAGTTCCCATCTTTCGTGCCACTGCAATGTACAGTTCACGTGCGTACTCCTTAACAGAGCGTGTGTCGACCGCCATGTTCCGTCGCGCCTGACGCACCAAGTACCTCACAAGTAATTTTTCTGTCTTGAGAAGCAACTGGTTGTGAAAATACTTGATCATAGAAGCACCTGTAGACTTTGTGATCTTCATGTGCTCCTTTATCTTGGCTGCATCCTTCTTTATTGTTCGAATTGTAGATTCATTCACACCATGCTGGCGCGCCAAATCAACCTGCCTTGTTCCTTTCTCCAACTCTTGGATGATGGTATACTTCACCTCGTAGCTTAAGGAACGTCGTGTCTTCTTTGGCTTAGTGCCGCTGGGTCCAGGTAAGGAAAGGTTTCTCTCTGGGGGTGGTGGTCCGGCGGAAGCCATTTTAGAGAACAATGGATGCACGTTTACACGGTCTGGCGTGGAGGGATGAAACTGGCGCGGCTAGGTCAAGGATCGTCCTCCCTCCCTCCTCCCTCCCTCCCTCCTCCTCCCTCCTCCTCCTCCTCCCTCCCTCCCCGTTTGGACACGTCATAATACTTTAAGCCAATTACAGCTAGCAGCAGGGGGTGGAATGCATGGCCAATCACAGTCCGATCGTCATATGACGTCAGGTGTCTTTGGTATTTATGGTATACACATATTTGTAAAAATAATATTTTACCATATTCCACCAGACACTGAATTAAAAAAAAATTTCCAGCTCCGTACACAAATGTGTGTGTACCTCACCTCTCCTAAGTTGTGCTTCTAGACCTACTAATCACGTCTCACACCATACACCATGAAATACACTGACAGACAAACTCACACATAAGTTCTTTATATATAAAAAAAATTAAATAAATTCTTTACAGTACAGAATACAGTGATCCCTCGGTTAACGAGATTTCGGTTAAAGATTTACCTTCCATAAGATTCTTTACTTCGGTTAACGAGTAATCCCTCGATTAACGAGTTTTTTTACAAGCCGACCTCAACATGTTTTCGCTTTTGCATTTGGTGGTCCACCAGCTGTAGTATTAGTCCGCCAATACAGTAATCGGTTTTAGGGCCTAAATTCCTTACTATTTTAGTAAATATCAAGAAGTTTATTATATTCAATAATTTTAAAAGTTTAATATTAAATTTTTGTTAGTCATTTTAACAATTATTGAACGAATTGAAGGTAAAGAAACTAGTTTCTGGCGCGCCATCCAGCCTGCTAGCACACAAACGGGCGTTAGTCTCTCTCTCTTTTCAGTGGAGGTAACATATTGCTTGAGACTCTCTTCAACTAAATGCTTTTTTTCTGTGTTTCCACGCAAATTATTGGTCATCTTGAAATTTATTTTACATATTGACAATATATAATGCAGTGCAGTGTTGATTTAAAGAAAATAATCTTGAATTATACCAAGAGAACTCAAATTTTATGGGTGAAATAGCACCATGGGGTGACTTCTCTTCCACCCCAATGCCTTCTCTTCTCCCTTCACCTCCACCCCCATTCTAATTCCCATCATCATCATCATCCAGGAGCCTTCTACGTACACACCTCAAAGTAAGTGTACTTTTATACCTTTTTTGTTGAATTTAGGCAATTTTCAGTGAGCTGGAACCAATTACCCAAAAACCCATTGAAACAATGGTTTCGGTTAACGAGTTTTTCGGTTAACGAGCAACCTGCTGGAACGGATTGTGCTCGTTAACCGAGGGACCACTGTATTATGATATGAACAACAGTACACACACACACACACACACACACACACACACACACACACACACACACACACACACACACACACACGTGTTGCCTACACATGCCATAACTCAAGATGTAAACTTTGGGAATGCGGAAAGGCAGTAGGCTTTTAAAAATCATGGCGAGAAAGGATGGTATACAGGAGGTCCTCACTATAAGAGTACTGTACAGTAAGTCCTTGCATAATGTCGACCAACTTAACGTTGTTTCGGTATTACGTCGCTAAACTTTAGATACCAGTAATTCGTTTAGCGTCCCAGTGACTCAGTACAACGTCGTTTTGCATCGTCACGAACTACATTTTAAGGCGCATCACCCTCTCTCGTCTGGCCTCACTACACTCTCTTGGCTTGGTGCACTGCCCTCACTCGCTGAACGTCACAGCGTCCCCAAGCGACGCCGAGCTAGTCTTTGTTACAACTTCACATCATACGTGTGTGCTTAAGTGCTTTTGCTCTACAACTGTACTCTAACCATTCAAAATGGCTTCCAAGCTCCCATCAAGTGCTACTGATGCTAGTTTAGTGAAGAGGCAACGTAAGACCATTACCCTGGCTACAAAAATGGGTGTATAACCCGATTTGAAAAAGGGGAACTCGCTGTGGACAAAGCCGCTGTGCTTGGTCTAACCCCCACAACGGTGTGTACTATCTGGACCAACGCTGACAAGATTAAGGTTAGTGCTGGAAGTGGTGCAATTCTCAGTGCTACTAAGATGACTCGTACTAAAAGCACTTTGATAGAGAAGGTGGAAAAGATGATGGCAATGTGGATGAAGGACCAGAATCAACGCAATGCCCCTGTGGTTATCCAGCATAAGGCCAGATCCTTGTTTGACGACGTGAAGGAATCAGAAGGTGAAGGATCGAAGGAAGAGACCTTTATGGTCAGCTGAGTCTGGTTTCAACGTTTTAAGTGTCGGTATAACTTCCACAACGTAATGATGACTGGTGAAGCTGCTAGTTCTGATACGGTTGCTACCGAGACATTCCAGCCAGAATTCAAACAGATTATCCACGATGGAAGCTACACATTGAAGCAAGTCTTCAATGTGGATGAGACTGGTCTCTTTTGGAAGAGGATGCCTGAGAGGATCTATATCTCCGATGAGGAGAAAAGAGTGCCAGGTTTAAAAGTGGCAAAAGACCGCTTGACGCTGCTGATTGGCATGAACGCTGCCGGCGACTTCAAGCTGAAGCCGATGTTGATTTCTCGCGCTGCAAACCCACGCGGGCCTGAAAGGTTACTCAAAGTATCACCTTCCTGTGATCTACAAGGCAAATAAAAAGGCATGGATAACTGGCGCCATATTTAGGTTAGGTTAGGAATCCCAGTCAGAGCAGGAGGAGGCAGCCACAGAGTCTCAGTGACTCACCACCCTCCTCCGCTCCTGCCATCCGCCTCCTCTGCTCCACTTCCCACCAAACATTCACTCTACCACCTCCGCCCATCGGTGAGTACCAAACCAAACTTAATAGTTGTATATGCATGCACTATTTTCTATAGAAATGGCATATTATGTAATGTATTTTATGGGGCAATGAGAGGCTCGGGAACGTAACTTCTGTATTTTATCTATTTCTTATGGGGAAAATTGATCCGTTTAGTGTTGTTTGGTATAACGTCGCGTTTTGAGGAACATAACCCCGACGTTAATCGAGGACTTCCTGTATTCATTATCCCATGAGTTCCCAACCCAAACAGAGTGGTGCAGTGCTCGAAAGGAAGTGTACTAATTACAGTATAGGTGTAAAATTAGAAGTGTTTAGGTGAAAGAGGAGTGGTGAACGAGTGATTGACATCATTTGTGGCCTTCACATACCTGAAACAACCGTATCTTTGAAGGTAAACAAACAAATATATTTTAATATGTTGAAATTATTTATTTTTAAAACATTATAATAAGTATTTTGTCTCAATGAACTGCTGGAGTGAGTGTGTACAAAATTTAATGGTTCCAAGGTAAATAATTGTTAAAAGATACATATCAAAATTTTGTCTTGTACAATGTCATGGTCCCAATTTGACCTATTTCCTTTATTTCTTATGGGATTAATTCCCTGCTTTAAGTGGATTCATTATTAGTGGCGTTGTTCCAGTACCAGTTAACCGGGGATAGTGAGTACTGCTTGGGTACATATATATGTATGTTGGCCGCAACACCCTACAGCCATGTATATATATGTTGGCCACATGTTCGGGGTTAATAGAAGCCACCTGGGTATGTCTCACCAGAAGCCACCTGGGTATGTCTTACCAGAAGCTACCTGGGTATGTCTTACCAGAAGCCACCTGGGTATGTCTTACCAGAAGACACCTCGGTATGTCTTACCAGAAGCCACCTGGGTATGTTTTACCAGAAGCCACCTGGGTATGTCTTAATAGAAGCTACCTGGGTATGTTTTACCAGAAGCTACCTGGGTATGTCTTACCAGAAGATACCTGGGTATGTCTTAATAGAAGCTACCTGGGTATGTTTTACCAGAAGCTACCTGGGTATGTCTTACCAGAAGATACCTGGGTATGTTTTACCAGAAGCTAGGAAACAAGATTTAAGGATCACTGACTTTTTTTCAATCTTGACAACTTTTTTGTCCATCAGTTATTTCTCCTTTTGCATCCTTGCACCATTCTCCTTTAATTCCTTCTACTCCCTCATTACTCCTGCCTTCTTTTGCCACTCTTTACATTTGACTGGTATTTGTAAGCCCTCCTGCTGGCATGAGCTGCTGCCATTTTTCCTCAACCCCTTTTTCTTCACCCCTTTTTCATGTGCTCATAAATACAGTACTCGTATATGATAGCTAAACTGTTTTTGCCTCAGAATGCCAAGACACATTTAAAGGTACAGTGAGAGAATGAAGTATCTTCCCAGCTTTGAGCAAAGTATAATGAAACCTGACTACCCAACACAGTGAGTAGTGCCACTGGTGACCCCTTTCCTAGGTTCCACAGGCCTTCCAACTGTTTATTTGCTCCACGTATAATAATAATAATAATAATAATAATTAACGGTTTATTGAAAGAGCTTGGCAGCCAGAAGGCTGAAAATATACAGTTACATATTTGGGGAATGGGTTACGAATTACAAATAATATACAAGTGACATAAGTGACACAAATAAGACATATAGTAACTTAGATGGGGATCAGCTCAAACTACAGTTCATTTCAACATAGTGACAGTGTAGGGAGCAGTGTTTACTGGGAGTGAATACACTGATTTATTACATGTTATTGATAATTTTTACAATGGTTGGGACTGGGCTGTTCTTATAGCGATCAGTTCGTGCACGTATGGGCTGGATGCGGTTGTGGTGTCGAACAGCAATTCTCGGACAGGGGATCTCAGGTGGTAGTAGGGGCCGGTGTCGGGGATGGTGTAGAAGCTTCTTACCAAATTTGCAGATGAGGCCGTGGTGATGGTCAGTGAGAGTCGAAAGGGTCAGTGTGTTGAGCGCTTCTTGATATGTGGAGTAGGAAGGGGAGAGAATAATCTTGCATGCCCTCTTTTGCACTTTTTCTAGGTGTTTACGTTGTGTGGCATTTAGGGAGGAAGACCAGGTGTGTGTGTGTGTGTGTGTGTGTAAAGTGGCTCTACCATTCTGCGATGTATTTGTTAAAACCTGAGAAGATATACTTCATTCTCTCACTGTACACCAAATTACATGCTGGGAACAGATGTCTGCTGAGAATTTTGTATTTTTTCAGTTTTCACTATTCTGAGAGTGTGCTGATGCATACCACTCAATTGTATTCATTCTTTACAGATCCAGATAACACCTTTGAAATACAGAGGTCACATAAATATTGTGGAGCTGCTCCCTTGTTGGAACAACCACAAGTATTGGGTGGATATTCTATTGATGAGGACAGAACTTTTAGGCATGATTGCACAATGCTGAAATTCTTGGACCGAAAATATCTTCCAGAAAATGGTAAAATGAAGGTAAGCTGATTGTTTTCCCTATACAATACAGTATTTTCAAACAGTGCATACTCAAGAAATTTTGAGATATGAGTTAATTTTGAGGGATACAGCATGAACCCATACATCCTAAACAAAGTGGGAGCTTACTTGTAACACCTTACTTTTTCCTCTTAAGTTTCCTCTATAATGTATAACATCACTTAAAAATAATAAATGGATAATGGAGAGGACCAGCTATGCTGAGCCTCGGCAGTAATATGAGGTGCTCATGCCTCCATGAGTCTTTTGTTCCTTCTTCAATAAGTGTAAATAACCCTTGTTGCTGCTCTGGCCAGGGTTACAAGAGTTAATTAGATCACCAACATTTGACCTATCCCAATTCACTGGGAAGGCAATAGGCTTGTAGTGAAGTTGTCTGGGGAATTCTTTTATGAAAAAAAAAACATGGTTATACTATTCTAAAAACTCCGTTGTAATTAAGTTAGAAACACCCTTTTTACCCAAATAATCCTGATGGCTTTATGTAAAAGATTGGTTAAATAAATATATTTTAATAAGTAAAAAAAATCTATCAGATAATGGCATAAATGTAGCGGTGTCTCGTAGCCAAGTCAATGGAATTTCCATCTTGCACTGGGGAAAGTTTTCCTTGAGTCTAAACTACGCATCTCTCATGGAGCTGTATCTATTAATGCAAATACCACTGTACAAGTACAGTCCCCCCAAACAGTATCTTAGCCATGGGGTCGATGTGATTCAAGGCTTTCCGAGTGATGTTACTCGACCTGTTTCTGAACGGCTGGTAGTTTTGCCTTTGAGTATGAATGAGTATATACATTTCCAAATGATGTGAATCCCCTGATGGCTTCAGATCATATAATTATTACATGACTCAGAGTGGATGTTGAAAATTGATACCAATGCTGTGCCATTCATCAACGGGATCTTACATTGAATAGAGCTAGGAATAGTCGGAGAGCCATCGCAACATGTTGGAGGGTATACATAACACCGAGATTCAGCAAACTGGGGTGAGTGAACCCACAGTTCAGTAAACCCTCGAAGATCTGGGTCCGGTAAATCCGGATCTCAGAAGATTCAGACAAAAATTTAGGGGTTCTGGTCTAAGAAGCCTCCCGAAGAAGCATTCCCTAAACAGGTTGAAGGTAGTTTAAGGCTTAAAGTTTTTATCTTATAAAATGTTACAGACTAAACTAAGCAGAATATAACTTGTATTGATGGAATCCTTGGAAGACAGCGAATAATTTGAATATACATATCACATAGTTTGCACAGGAGATAAAACATTTATTCCTTTAGAGTAGTACAGTTGAGTACATGTTTTTCAACTCGTAGTTTTTGGGAAGATATATTTAGCTTTCTTCGTTTGTTTTTACTCATTTACATGCACACACCATCCTAAATACATATTGTGAAAGAAGTAACAGAAATAATTGTCCTAAGGGCAAATCTGTACTGAAATGTACTAAATTACCAAAATTTTTATGCCTAGTGCAAACTATAACATATTTATACTCAAATTAATCACTATCATACAAGAATTTCAGCAGTGTAAGTTGTACTCTGCCTAGTCAATTCAGTGACATTTTATAAGCGAAAAACTTTAACTCCCGCTAATTTTTTTTTTTTTTTTTTTATACACAGGGATTGGCCCACCCGGGCACAGGTCAGTGACCCACATTGGAACCTGGGGGTGAAAAAAAAGAATAGAAAGAAATGAGAAATAGAAAAGGAGAAGGTTCTATTAATCTACACCGCGAAGATGCCGGAAAACCAGCTTTTTAAAGTGAGACAGATTGTATGAGTGGAAACACAGGAGAAGGCAGAGCATTCCAAAGTTTGGCTGTGTGAGGAAAGAAGGATGTACTATAACAGGTTATTCTAGTGTGACCAACATCAACACAGAAGCGGTGGGCACCATGGTCAAAACGTGTGTTACGAGCCCACGGCCTTGCCGGCGGTACACAGGATGCCAAATCCACCGAACATTGCCCATTAAAGTACCTGTAAAAGAGAGAGAGAATGAATAAATACCACTAGGTAACCTTCGCTGCTAACTGTGTCAACACCCCACCTCCCCCTTGGCCTTCCCACCTCCTCCCTTAAAGTTTTATCTTATAAAATGTCACAGACTAAACGTAGCAGAATATAACTGGCATTGATGGAATCCTTGCAAAATAATAAATAATTCGAGTATAAACATCACATAAGTTGCACTAGCGATAAAAATTTTAGTCCTTTAGTGTAGTACATTTGAGTACAAAGTGAGTACAACAATATATTGCTCAAAATTATGGCACTTTCACAGGAAAAAGTCTGTATAATTAACCCATT